TGTTCATGTTTGCTGCGTAGCTCTCCTAGTTGACGATTCATTTGAATAAATGAGCAAGTTTTCTAGCAGTGTTCTTTATGTATTTATATCCCTTCTGTTTATATTCTCTTCTTCCCCACCCCAACTAAGTTTTCTTGTTTCTTGTTTCTAACGTGTAGACTTTCCAAACCCAAAGGGAAGGTACTTGCAAACATCTTGCGAGGCAAGCATGCTTGTACTTAATTGGTTTTTTCTTTTCTCTTATTCCCGGATGTTTTAGATTTAACCATGTAAAACATCAAATAAATCATTAATAATATTTTTTATAATGTTCCATGATGAATAGATATTGTTCAATCCAGAAAAAGCTGGCCTTTACTTGCAAAAGAAGGACGGTTGATATCTTTATATTGCTCCTCAGAGAATGTTCAATCACTATGTAAAATTTCAGAAGGTTCCTCGTCAATAAATAAGCTTCCTCTAAACTTTTTAAKGGATAAGAAGCTGGTTTTTGATTCAGATCCCCATACCAAAAAGGCTGTTGATCTTTCATACAATTTTCTTAATCAAAGGTCAGTTTACATACTTCCTATTTGATATCTTAATATTTTTTGCTTTTTTTAAAACAACTAATGTTTGCTTCAATAGGAAGCTATTTGGTTTAATTAATTTTTCTATTTGACTATACATGCTTGATAGATGTAACGTAATTTTTTATTCTGCATTCTGCAGTACCAAGCTTGCGGCATTGCCTGGAGCTGGAAGAAGTACAGAGTGYGGGATTGCTGATTACAGAAGGTTATTTCTCTCTTCTTCTTCTTCCTTTTTTGTTTAATCCTTTCTTCCTTTCACTGACTAATGTAAAAAGTTCCACTGGTTTTTTCCCCTCCAATCTTCTAGTGCAACGAGCATCGAGAAATATATAGAGTAAAATATTTATGCAAATGCTGCTCGATTTTGGCACGGTTTTAAATCTAGATCCTGTTTCTAATTTTTTTTCTTGAGGAGTAATTGGAAGTTTCATATATAGCTCTAGAAAGGAAAAATCTTGTTCATGGTATATTAAATACCAGAGATTCCGTTGGGTATGCTGGTTTTTAGCAGCTACAGTTTTGAAGTGGGTTGTTGGTCTCAGGAACAGTTTTTTTTGTCTTTCTATTCTGTTTTTATATGTTTTAGTGGTCATGAATTCTCCTTTACTTTTTGTATTTAGAAAATTATAATTCCAATGAAACATCTTTACCTCGTGACCTGGTTGTTCTTTCTATCTTTTTGTTCTTCCACATCCACGTTTTCTTCCTCCAAACTTCTTTTATAAAATCTAACCCATCTCTTTAGAAAAAGTTGAATTATCTTCACCCAGAATCTAATTCTTAATTTTGCAGCACAGTGCTTCTGTGACCCAAAAACGCGTACTGGGAAGCGGCCACTTGAGAACAAGTGCACCCCTTTTCCTGACCAGGAGAACGCTGAATCTTTCTGTTATTTCACTGTTATTATATGGATTTTCACCAAACATTTGTGCGGCTGTTTTTGCTGATGACTTGGAGCTCGAGAGATACACAGATTCAAAGGAGGGCTTTACCCTTCTTCGACCATCTTCTTGGGTTAAGGTTTTTGGCCTTCTCTCTCTGAACTAACAGTGATGCATTCTTTTCTTTTAAATGAACTTTTCATGAATTTTTTTACTGGATGAAGGTTGAGAAGGCAGGGGCAACCGTTTTATTTGAAGAGGCAAATAAGGGAAGCAACAATGTGGGCGTTGTAGTAAACCCGGTTCGCCTTACAAGTCTTGGGGAGTTTGGAACTCCTCAGTTCGTTGCTGACAAACTTATACAGGCTGAAAAGCGGAAGGTAGTTTATTTTTTGAGATGCTGCCATTTCCTACTCATACACAGAGCTGGTTTCTAATTTAATCTTGTGAAGCTTGGCTGTGATGTTTATTGGATTCTTTGAAGTGCTAGAAAAAATAATATTTTACTCTTTTTTTGGGATTCAACAACATATAATATTTGAGTTTTAAATAGTCTGAATGATTTTTTGATTCATGATCTTTGTTGTGCTGGATTGTATGTCTTTCCTCTGTAAAACATGCTCTGTCACGCTGAAGTTTGGTAAAGAGTGTAAAATGTTAGTATTGAGACTTGAATTCAGATTGCTCAAGGAGCTTTAAGGGTGAGTTTATCATAGGGTAGGGGCTGATCATGAAGAATTTATGATTTAAATAAACTTTCTATTTCTTTCTTCAAGTTTTTCCCCTCAAAATGTGAAGGGAGATAATTGTTGTTCCACATTTTAAGATTTACGTTGATAGACTCTATCTCTTAGTTGTTTTTTGTTTAAGTTACAAGTTTGATCCCTGAGCTATGAGGATTGTATCTTATAAGTCTAACTTTAAAAATTGTCTAATAGGTTCAAAACTTTCAATGTTTTGTCTAATAATAGGTCTAATAATAGGTCCCTGAATTGTAAAAAGTATCCAGTAAGTCAATAACTTCCAATTTTGCATCAAACGGGTCCTTGAACTTGAAAAAGTATCTCATAAGATTAGGGTTAATATGCACAAAATTGAAGCTTATAGGATCTATTAAATCCAAATTAGAAGTATTGGGACCTATTAGAGTTTAGGGATTTTTATACCCTTTTTAAAGTTCAAGACTTATTAAACACGACATTAAAAGTTTAAGGACCTATTTGATTAAACTCTCAAAGTTCAAGAACCAAACTTATAATTTAATCCTTTTTTTTCTCCTATGAATACAGGAAAGTACAAAGGATGCTGCAGTAGTTGGGGTTGCAGAGAGATCTGGTGACGGAGGTCAACAAGTGTACGAGTTTGAATATACGATTGATAGCACTAGAGGCGGGATGAAACGGGTTTTTTCGGCCGCTTTTGTGTCTTCTAAGAAACTCTACATCCTTAACATATCTCACTCTGACAAACCAGATAGCCCTCTTGATTCACATAGAAGAATGATGTTGGAGCAAGTTCTTCATTCCTTTGATGCAGCTCCTTCCTCATAAGGTCAGATCATGCCCTCCTAATTATCTCATTTTCTTATTTTCTCAACTTTGCTTTTGATGCCACAGCTCTATTTTTATTTGCCTTTACTTTGTGTAGTTAGTTTCGATTTTGCCCTCAATGTTTTGGAAGTTTCAATTTACTCTTATGGGGTAATTTTGTCAGATATTTGTACAAAAATGACCAACCCATGGATCATTTTGAGTAAAAGAAAAAACCTTCAAAATATTAAGGGCAATGTTAAAATTGATTATATGGATTAAGGGTATTTTGTATAATTGAGTCTTTTGTGGTGCTAATAAAGCTGCCATACTGTATTATAAGCTTCCATGTTCTGTATCAATGTTGTGAGTGGGCAAAAACCAAACCGTTAGATAATGGAAGATTGGGGAGGATAGCAAAGCCTGTCTTAGGCTAGTGACGTGTTTCATGGAAAGAAAAAGTGTGGGCAAGTACTTCTAGGTTTGGTGGTAGCTACCAAGACGATTTCTTTACGCCTAACAAAGAATTTTGAGATGCTAATCCATAAAAAAATAGTTTGTCTTAGGTTAGCGACGTATTTCCTGGCAAGAGACCACGCATTAAATAGAGGACCCAGCTAACTCTCAAAGACTCTATAATACATAATTGAGCCCACATCTRATGAARCAATGTTGAGCCACCCGTTACGGCGACATGACACGTGTAGCATGTATAAAGGAGCTAAAAACTAAGAAGGCAGCACCATAGTGCTAATAGGAAAGTGCCATGATTCTTAACTCAAATTTAAGCAATTCGCTAAGAAGATGCATGTTGCTACGAACTTTAAGCCTCTGTCAATTTTGGTGCAGTGCCATGATGCTCACTAACGACATGATGCTCACTAACGACGTCACGACGCTAATAATGTATTCTCCATTATAATAATAGGTTTCCACGATTCACACAATCCTGGAGAGTGAACACTGCAATAATACGAAAATAGAGGCYGATGAGAGCTTCAAGGAGCTAAGAGATGAGATTTTCAAAGTTTGGGATCGTGAAGATGGACTCAAAGAGATAAATTGATACAAAAGAATTAATTTTCTCATTTCATTTGATTTTTTTAGTTTGCTCTGGAACATAATTTGAGATTTCATTGTTCCAATTTGAGAATGTGTAGATAAACTCTTTAATTTGTCTTAGGGATTGATGTATTGCTAAATTTTGTGAGTTAGATTAATTTTGTGTTTACATTATTAATCTATTAATGTATTTATATGCTTGGTAATTATATTTAAATCTGAATCTTAGGAGATGTGGTCCAGATTGGAACTTTAATGCATTATTAAATAGTTATAACATCAGAAGATTTGGAATTGGTTTAGAAGTTGTTAAAAGAAATAGACTTAGGTCTTTGATTGTTAATGAAATTAGATATGCATATTGGTTTTTTAATTGACAACAAAAATTAATTAATTGTGCTCGAGAGAGACATATGATTTGTGATTTCTTGACTTATAGATTAATTGTTTATTTAGTCTTGGCATGATTTGTGAGGATTTAGATCTCTTGTTAACGATTTTAACAACCTTTGTGTAAGTGTACACAAATCGCGTAGCAAGTAATAAAAAAATCGAATTCACGAGGATTGAGTAACTAAATACTTCAACTTTCACTCAAAAAAATGGAAAAACAAACCAGAGATATTTTGGATTATCGCTACTTTGCAAATAAGATAAAAGTGCAGTAAAACATGAATACAACAGATTTGATAAGCAGCTGGTTCGACCTCGAGCGAGGTTGAGCCCGAGGTAATTGTAAGAGGCTCAACCTCGAGAAACCTCACTCAAGGTCGAACTCGAGAAAAATGACAGAAGCTTAGAAACCWCGAGGTTGCGTCAATTTTTTCTATCACCAACCGTTGACGTTGGGCGAAACCTACGAAACCTCGCCCGAGGTTTATCGTTTCTTATGAAACTCAGTCGGGAAACCATATCTCCTGCCCGAGGTTYATAGTCAACCTTAAYAGAATCATGTCGAAATACGAAACTAAATTTAAAAATGAYAACCTGTTTCAAAATCAAAAGCAAATAAAAGCAAACAAAACAACAAAATTGTTTTTCAAATATAGTCCAATCTTAAGAAGAAATCAAAAGCCCCAAAATTAAGGGCAATGATTGTTGTGAATTAAATGATTCCCGGGCGAGAATTAATATGACCCCGGTCGAGTTTTTTTCCAGCCGTCATGTCTTATAATTAAGGGCATTTTGGTCATTTCATCTCCTCTGACACATCATTAATGCTTAAAGTAGGTCATCTGGGCAGATTTTGAGGGGAGCGRGTCATTTGAGCATTTCAAAAACTTTTGAAGGTTATTTGAGTCAATTTCCCGAAAAATCTCAACTAGTTAAGACACCAATATCCRATTAGAAGGTCGTGAGTTTGAATCCCCACCCCATATGAAAATGTTTCTTTTATATATATGTAAATAAATATATGCTGTTTCATATAATTTTGTTGAATCGAGATTATAAACCTATTAATGTTGTTTACTAAAATGTCTGGAATTGGAATACAAACAAAAAATATGACAATTACTATAATACCCCTTCCTTATTTCTAATTTTGTTAGTACTTTTCTTATTTCTAATTAATTAGAAATATATTGTGTATTATTTTTTAATTAAAATAATAATAAACTTTAATTATTCATAGTAAATATTTTTATTATAATAATTTATTTAATATTAACAAATAATAAATAAATTTTTTGAGTACACAAATAATAAACAATTAAAATAAAATCACATATAATTTCTATTAGAACCACACATCATTAATATAAAATATTGTTAAATTTTAATATCCAATAATAATGAATTGTATTTTAATAATTTTATGGATATAAATTAATAACGAAGTAAAATCAATCAATTGATAAATTGAATAAAAATTTGTAATATTTTACCATACATCACACCAATGAATTAAAGTCATATAACTTGTTATTAAAATAAAAATTATTAGTACTAATAAAAGGAATATAAAACAATTAATTAAAAAATTATGAATTTCATCTAGAGAGAAAAATGTATAGTTTGTAAAATAATTATTGAAAAGGTATGAAGGTCCACGCATAACGAATGAAAATAAAACTACATTTTGTTAGTGATTTGAAAACACGAAATTCAATAAAACTATCCATATTTTYGATATTTTGAACACGTATTTAGTAGCAGATTTGAAAAATGAAAATCAATTAAACAAATTGTACTATAAATATATATATTTTTTTAAATCAAGAAATGTTGTATTAAAAAGAAACAAGACCACTAACGGGTTACATAAAAAAAGTGGTGACCATGCACCACAATCAAAATCCTCAAAGTAAAACAATTATCATCATTCAATGATGTTGGGGAGACTCCTCAATTAATGGAGGGATCTTGTCAATTGTGACACCTAGAAGAGAAATAATTGCCTCYAAAGTTACCTTAATCTAATTGTGATTGCGCAAATTTGTCAAATCATGCTGGTCTCGAATCTTAATACAATTAAGACTGATGGCCTCCACAGATTCCAAAATAGTGTTCGAGCCGATTGTTGCCGCACCTCTACYGTCGTCCACCTTCTGCTTCGTCATTCTCGCCTGGACCACGAAAGTTCTMTGAAGCAGGATGCAACGAAGATGAAGAGTCATCTTGAGAAATCACTGATATGTGCCCTCCCCAATTTTGTGCCTGATAACTCTTCAAAATACCTTGATGCGAAGCCACGAACCATAGATAACAATGTTGCCTTTGATTTTGTCAGCCACAACAACACTATCGACATCCAACAGGAGATTCCCAACACCGAACCACCATCCGCTATCACAGAAATTAGCACGAAAGAAAGAAGGATCATTCCCAAAATCATCTCCACACCGAACCACAGCATGGATGAGAATTTTTGCTGGGAAGAGGGCCTTGGTGTTCGTGTTAGAAGTTGGGTGAAGATAAATATTGAAGGACCTAGATGAGGTTGTGGGATACCACTAAAATATGAACATCTTCCGGATTTTTGTTATCATTGCGGCAGGATTGTGAGGATGTTTAATAAGATAAAGAAGACAAAGGAAGCAATTTTGGTGGAGTACAACAAGCAGATACCATTGGATATTTCTCAAAAATTCAATATCTAGAGTGGGATTTGGATAGTCTTTTGGAKCTCAAAATGTAATTTTCCTTCGTGGCTTGTTATGTTTTCATATAAGAATATGATCTCAAATATAGTCTAAGTGGCAATTATTCCTTAACGAACTTCTTTATCATAAAAAAAAAATCTACATCTCAACCCCCCAACACCTTGCTTCGAGCCCACACTTGGGCATTCATTTTTGTTTTTTCGTGATTACATCCCTTCGCTTAAAGCCAAAGACCACCTGTACATGATGAGCTTGACGGAAAGCTTGGATAGCATTACCCAGCATCCCAACCTCCGACTCATCCTCACAACCCGACTCCAGCAAGTTAAAGATTCGAAGGGAATCGGTTTTGRTCTGAAGCTGATAAAACCCAGCCTCCATAGCTAGACAAAGGCCTTCATAAACCGCAAAACATTCAGCCCAATCCACACTTGGAACAAAACGTAGGGGACGCACAGCCGCAAGGAGAATAAACCCAGCAGCATCCCGTATGATGTTGTTTAGTGATTTATTTTACTATTATGTTTCCTCTGAGTTTTATAGAAGGTAAAATATTTCATAATTTCTATGATTTTTAAAGATGGAAAAAAAATCATAAAATTAGGTAAATTTTTAAAAAAATAGAAAAAAGAATACAATTTTAAGACATATTTTAGTTTTCAATTGTTACGTTGTCTTCATATATATATATATATGAGATAATATCATTAGAGGGCTGTTTTAGAAACTTATTTATATAAATGTCTAAATTTTTATAAATTTACACTTTTAGATTTATGCATGTAGGATTTTAATTTAATTTCGAATTCACCCCTACTTATTGCATTTTCATTTATTAAGGGATTTTGATTTTTTTGAAATAAAAAATTGTTATTTCCATAAATTAATATCACAATCTTTTAATAAATGTGGGCCCCATAGTAATTGACAATTCAAATTCCTTAATTATCTCCTCCAAATCCCTCAAAAAAAAATCCTCCAAATCCCTAAAAAAAGGTTGATTTGCTTTATTTACCAATATCATTAATTAAAAAAATATTCAAATCTTATCATCACATTGTTTCCAATTTTCTTCTTCGTTCACTGCCAAACTAATCTTCYTTCACTGCTACGGTGCTACAAACACTTTCCCTTCGATTTCTGCTATGGTGCACGATGCTACAATGTTTCAAAATGGTAATCTAAATTTTCTGCACTCCTCTCACATTCGCACTTGTTCARAAAAAAAAAAACACAGTATGTTGTTTGCAAGCCACTGCCAAGCAAAAACCTGAATTCAGTTTTTTCCACTGTCATTCACGCCATAAGCAATTACATGGTTTTATTATTTCTTATGATTACAGGTTAATATCATAGTTTTAACATTATTATTGCACTTCCTATTATTATCTTGTTATAAATTACATTTTAGTTATTCATATATATGGGTATAAATTATGTTCATCTTGTTTCGTTATTATAAGACGTGAGATATAATATATATCCTTATCTAAACACTATATATCCCCACATATACGTTATTCAGAACAAACGAATAAAGAAAAATATACTCGTATATACCAATGTAATATCGAAAGTCCTCTGTAAACTAGAGATATATTATATATCCTAATACATTTTCCATGGAAATTGGTCTGTATGCTCGGGTTCTAATTCTTTGAATTGTTTCACTGGTATATATGGAGATACTTTAATCTAGAGATATATTATATATCCTAATCAGTATCACTATATTATATATACTCAAATATACACTATTATAAATGATAAAACCATATAGCAAGAGATAATGAGAACAAGAGAGCAACAGATTCTATCCAAAATTGAAACCTAAATTGAGCATATCCAATAAGAACTATATACCTCGATTCTGTGCAAAATTGAAACCTAAATATATCATAAAACACTGTATAAGGGGAACTGACGGACTGGATTGCTCATGCTACGGAGGCCGGATATGAAATTAGAACTTAYTGTGTAATGGAGTCGACGTAGYCGCCGGAGACGAAGGAAACGCGACGATGTTTCCCTATGAAATGCGACTGAGGCCGCCGGAGAAATCTTCTGCAAAGAACGGAAAAGCAGC